CCCTACAAAACACAAATCACCCCACCCCACCCCCCAGGATCCGTGAACAATTCACACAATGAACATGCTAATCACCCTCAGCAGCCACTCGTTAACAACTCAACATAAAAAAACCTTGCCTAACCCCCAGGAAGATATACGCATACTCTGATCACCAAAACAAGCAGCCACTCCTTAACCCCCACAGGCACCCTTGCTGATCTCTATAAATACCCACAAAAGGGTCACATCATCCTGGGCACAGAGAGAACTGCTTCTGTCCTCTGAAGATGCTGGTGAAACGTTAGGAACCAACACTTCCAGAACACGGCCACACAGCCTGGAAGACCCACATCAGCCATGGTCAAATTTGTATAACCTATCCATGGCAAGTGTACATATACTGGCCTCTCCAAAGCTCAGAAAGATGGATCGTATCATGCTAATTCCATGGGTTCTTGTCACATGGATTGCATATTTTTCTCTCTTATAATGTCAGGTTTTACTTGTTGAAAACTGTCACTGTTCATCAGATGAAGTTACAGTATGACTTTTGCTGGAGAAGGTCATTCAGTTTTCATTAGCTTCCCTTATCTGGTTGCAATACATTTTACAGTATTTTTTTTTAATAGCTTAAAATCAAAAGAATGAGTGGGTTGATGAATGCTTCAAGACCAATTAGCATAGACAAGGCTTTTCTTTTTCAAAATAACTGTATAGTTTTATTCTAGAAACGTACTTAATAAACAGAGTCTAAAGTCAGTTCTTTCTTCAACAGTACTCAACATTTATTAAGTCACTGTGTGAACATACCTAGCCCACCAGTACCTCATCTGGTTTTGCTCAGAGATGTTGTTGATGCCAGTATGATCCCTGTAATTTTCTACTTTGTTTCTTTTTCTTTTTTAGGGCTTGCAAGGGGAAAGAGGAGAAAAAGGGCCCCGAGGAGACAAGGTACAAATAATTTGTCAAGTAGTATGCCATGATGATGAGCACAAGTTTAGAAGAGAATTGGCTCATGATGAACATTCCATGTCAAACATGTCATGCTCAGGACAATATATTTCTCTGGAAGTCTACTATTTTGTAACTCACACTAGATATAATATATTCTATGCAGGCTAAGTATTCCATGTAATGTGACCAGGAACCTTCACTCTTGTCATCTAAGCTTATATACTCTGGTCATAGTTGCATTATGTCAAACTTCTGCAATGATAATGTATCATATTGTGGATTCTTTCAAGTAATGCTGATTTTAGGGCATTACTCCCCTTTATTCTATTTTAACATGTTATTCAGCAATATGAAAATCTAAAATTTCGACCCTGAATTTCATTGTAGATACAGTTTGATAACAATCCTATCTGAAGCAAGACCTTCAAGCTACCTTGATGACATGTCCTCTCTGGCCTTGTTTGCACATCACACTTAACTGGGTCAAAGGGGGAAATTAATGATTCATGTGAACACCCCAACCTACTTCGCCAACCCAGACAGTAAAGCCAGAAAGGATTAATTTTTGGCCCAAAGTGTTCCAGGCCTTCTGGTGGCTAAACTAATTTTGGTCAGTCAACCATGTCATGCATATTGTTTACTGGTTATTAACTGTCCCTTGAATGGCTTCATGGAAATGAAGTTATTCTCATCTTCTTTTACCTCCCTGCCCCATGGTTTCATGGTGGGAAGTTTAAAATGGACAGAAGAGAATGGGGGTGATACCTCTCTCCCCCCACCCCCAGGTTCTGACTATATTTGCATTAAACCTGATCATTACCATCATGGATATTTCTTCATTTGGTAAAAACAAACAAAATGAAAGCCACCCAGATTTTTTTGTAACAGCTGGGTGGACTCAGAAAATGTTGGTTTCGGTGAACTAAGTGATCAAGAGTG